CACCGCCATCTTTTTGGCCATGCCGCCGAGCGCATGGATGAGCTGGAGCTGGTTCGGCGGCCAGGCGATCGTCGCGCGGTCGAGTTCTTCGCTCTCGATCGTCGGATCGATTCCACCGGCAAAGACGACCAGATCGGCCTCTTTGGCGAGCTGCATCGCCGCCTCCGCATCGGTGTGATTGTACGTGCCCGAGATGGTGGTGCCATTGGCGGAGCTGATGGTGGCCTGGCTGAACACGCGCTGGGCGGCTTCGGTCATGGTGATCGCAAACGGACCCGGTCCGGCGTAGTTGCCGCGCAGCGCAAACGTTGCGTTCGAGTACGGTCCGATCACCGCCACCTTGGTAGCGCCATCGACGGGCAGCGTGCCGTTGTTCTTGAGCAGCGTCACCGACGCCGCCGCGGAAGAGTACGCCAGATCCTGTGCCGCTTTGGTGTTCACATGCTCCCACCCGAGCTCTCGCAGCGGCTGGCCCTGCTTGGGATCGAACAGACCCAGTCGGACCTGGCTGGCGTACATGCGCGCGACCGCGGTACGGATCGTCTCGACGTCGGTCAAATTCTGCTCGAGAGCCTGGCCAAGGTTATCGCTGTACGTCGCGCCGCAGTTGAGATCCGTGCCGGCATTGATCGAGTCGGCCGCCGCCTGAACATAGCTATCCGCATAGTGGTGTCCATCGAACACGTTGGCCACCGCATCGCAATCCGACGTGACGTAGTTGTGCTTCTTGTCCAGTCCCCACTCTTTGCGCGCCAGGGTTTCGAGGTAGTAGCGCGACGCCGAGGGCGGCACGTTGTTCACCGCATTGTACGACGTCATGAGCGTGACCGCCTTGCCGTCGCGCACACACGCGCGGAACTGGGGCAGATAGAACTCGGCGAGCTCCTGCCTGCTCACCTGTGCATCGAACTGGTACCTCTCCACCCCATCCCACTTTTCGAGATCGTAGGCGAGGTAGTGCTTGCACGTCGCAGCCAGTCTAAGCTCGTCTTGGTTGGGGCCTTGGAGGCCCTGGACCATCTTGACGGCGTACCTGCTCATATGCAGGGGGTCCTCACCCGTGGTTTCCTGGCCTCGGCCCCAGCGCGGATCGCGGAAGCAATTGATGTTGAGCGGGCTGTACATGTTCAAGCCTGCCTTGCCGGCATTGTTAAACGCCCTGGTCTCGTTGGCAATGTGCGTCGCCACCTGCTCGTACAGTGCATCGTCAAACGTCGCACCCAGATTGATGATCTGTGGAAAGTTGGTCGCCGATCCATACGGCGCCTCTACGTCGTCGGCAAAGTTGACGCCAGGACTACCAGCCACGCCGTGCAGAGCTTCGGTCCACCACTGGTAGGGCGGGATGCCGAGGCGGGGTACGCCGGGAGCGGTGTTGATCGTGTTGTTGATGAGCTCCTGCGTGGTGAATTCGGCAACGAGCGAGGTGGCGCGCGTCCAGTAGTCGAGCGACGTATCGCACACCGCGTTGGCCGACAGAGGCGTGCCGGGCGAGCAGTCGGGGAAGGAGAAGTTGACGTGCTGCAGCGCCAGTGGCGAGAGCGTGATGGCGCGCTTGATCCACATCTTGAATGCTCGGAGGCCGTGTCGGTCTTGATCTGTCTCTACTGAGAAGTGGGGGCAAGAGGGGGGGGGGGGGA